GTTAATAAACCCACAATCGCCCACCCACACACTAATAGCCCACCCCGTATTTTGTCCAAAATGTCAGATCGCTTTGAAAATTGGTACACATGTTCTTAAGGATATAAGAAAGGTCGCTATTGTTTTTTATTGACCAAAAAGTTACAGCCCAAGAACGAACTCGAGGATCGTTCGGTATTTTGTTGGATCAGTGGTTGTATCAGATTCTTTGTAACAGTACCGGGTGACCCAATAAGACTGTTCCTCGGCCATATCTCAAGAACCATTCGTCATATGACTTCTGGGTAAAAAAATTATTGGGTAAATCGGTCATGAAGAATCGCTGGAAAATATTTTCAAGTTCTAAAAATGGCCAACACCATCTTAAATTTTAAAATTGCATTTTCTTTAAATTTCGCATAATAAACTAAACAAATTTTTCCACATTTTTAAAGAGAACCAGTTTATCTATCATTTTCGTAAAAACAAAAACTCTGTTATTTCAAAAACAAAGATAGCGTGGGGCGTTCAATTGTTTTTGCAATAACCTTCTTTAAGTTCCTAACCGTTTGACCGATTTTAACAAATTTGGTATGGTTGAAAAGAGCATTCCTTAGGCAATGAGAATCAACCAAAATATGTTAATTTAGTTGAATCCTTCTCCGCCAGGAGGCTAGTTTTGACACTTATGATCCAAAATCCTAAAAAAATCGAACGGAATGATATGATTTTTTCTTTATGAAAAAGTAGCCAAATAACATCCAAAGAGGCCAGTGAAAACCGTTTTTCAAAACCTTATTGGGTCACCCGGTACATAACTGACATTAGCAAATGCATATTATATGTAGATTATTTGCATATCCATGTTATTAAAAAATTATCATTGGGAAACTGATCATTAATATTAGAACATATCAAATAAGTTGCTATCTATGCATATGCGAGAGTAGGACAGAGATTCACCTTATGGCCCTCTCTCTCTGATCGCGCGTTCCAGTTTAATTATAGTTCAGTGGTGTAAAGGCAAAGAAAAGTCAAATCTATTATTTACCTCACAATCAAAATTAGCACATTTAAAATTCTCAAAAGCTTTATGTGTTAAAAGGTGTTGATTAAAGCATTGTATATCATTAAAGTTATATTTGTTTGTTCCATCACAATTACCACATTTTCAACCCTTAGAAATTGTATGTGTTAAAAGATGTCGTTTGAAGAGGTATTTATTATTTGTCCCATAATCACAAGCAACACACTTAAAATCCTTAGAAACTTTATGTATTAAAAAATGTCGTTTCAAGACGTGCTTATTATTTGTCCCATAATCACAATTGGCACATTTAAAATCCTTAGAAACTCTATGTGTTAAAATGTGTCGTTTAAGGTTGTCGTTGCAATAGGTCTCGTAATCACAATTAGCACATTTAAAATCCTTAGAAAGCCTATGCGTTGAAATATGTCGTTTAAGGTTGCCATTGGAATATGTTTCATAATCACAATTGGCACATTTAAAATCCTTAGCACCTCTATGTGTTAAAATATGTTGTTTAAGGTCACCTTTAGAATTAGTCTCATAATCACAATTGGCACATTTAAAATCTTTAGAAACTTTATGTGTTAAAAGATGTCGCCTGAAGAGGTGTTTATTGTTTGTCTCATAATCGCAATCGGCACATTTAAAATCCTTGGACACTTTATGTATTAGAAGATGTCGTCTGAAGACGTGTTTATTATTTGTCCCATAATCACAATCGGCACATTTAAAATCCTTAGAACCTCTATGTGTTAAAATATGTTGTTTAAGGTCGCCTTTAGAATTTGTCTTATAGTCACAATTGGCACATTTAAAATCCTTAAAAACTTTATGGTGTGTTAAGAGATGGCGTTTGAAGAGGTGTTTATAATTTGTCCCATAATCGCAATCAGCACATTTAAAATCCTTAGAAACTTTGTGTTTTAAAAGATGCCCTTTTAAGTAACGTTTAACATTGGTCTCATAATCACACTCGCCACATTTAAAATCTTTGGCCACTGTTTTACACTGATTAAAAGGTTGACGTTGAAGGTTGTGTTGCTGTACTTCATTATAAAGAGATTTAGAACATGGTGTACTAATGGTAGTTTCTTCCTTTATTGTCACCAAAATTTCGTTGCGTACTGAAATGTGCTCCTGAAGAAAGGAATGGATTTCTTCTTCATGTTTTGGTTCGATTTTAATGAGCGGCCTATCGTTATCTCCATCCATACCAAATCAAATCAATAATATTATAAATAAATCTATTTTGGTATTAAGCAATAAAAAGCGAGATTACCCAGACTTATTAAAAAATGTGTAGAATAGGGTTTGATTCATACTTTAGGGATTTTCCTTCATACCTAAGCTCAATTTGACAGTTCGCCAGTAAATGGCTAAATGCTCGTCACATATACAGTATGCGTGCCAAAGTTGCACCTCACCTACAAAGTTTTTATAAATGCAGCTTAATATGACTTGGCAGTGTACATTTGGCATAAGACCGCTTTTGCACGGGGTGGTGCCTAGCGCGACGCAGCATAGGGATTTCAATGGTAATTCTTTATAGTCAATTACTAGCTCCCCTAATTATTTTAGAGCAAAAGTCTAAATAAGTTTTTTTGGAGAAAAAAAAACATCATCTGTTCATATATAGTTATAACTTTCCGTTTATCAAAACCGTAGAAATCGACAAAATATAAAGGTTCATTTTACAATAAATCAGATATGCCTTGGAATTACTTAACAAAATTCTTTATTGGCCTTTAAGTTGATACACAGAATCACACATTTGATACCGTTAACATTTTGGTTTTTGACTAAAAGTAACATTCATATAAATTTTGATCATTCTTTTAATACGTGGAAATTACGGATTCGTTTGATGCGTGTACTGACTTGTTGTTTGTAAACTAACATTTTCTCCGTGAGGTAGCAAAGACTGTAATAAGATGAGTTCCGACACCTAATTCTTTGATTGTGTTAGACATTCAGCTGTAGGCTCGAAACCCCGAACGAGGGGCGAGTTACATATTTTGAGGGCAAGGTTATGCGAATAAAAACTTCCGTTTAGAATCGATAAATGAGTTGCGATTTCCACATATTTTGTCGTTGGTCGTTTGCCATGTTGCTCTTAACAAAATGATTTTATTGTATCAAAGGTGAATCACATCCAGTGTATTTCACCTTTTCTCAGAATCTTGGTACCTGTTTATACCTGGCCAATTGTTTCAAACACTTGTTTTTAACCGATTTTTTCACCTATCCAAGTACATGCTACATATTTTGTCAATATTGTTGTTATAATTTTATGTTATGCATTCACATCATTACACAATTTAATATTAATTTGACGAGTAGTTTTTTGTTGGTAAGTTTACACGGTGAACTACCATTTCCAAAGTTTATTCTTGCCATATGATTTGTTTCGACTAAATTTACGAGCTTTCACAATCTTAAGGGTAACAATATTCTGAGTACAGGATGTACCAACATTGTGGATACGTAAGAAATTTTTTGTGCGTACATTTTGAGGACGTTTATCCATTGTCACCACATATGAATAATGTCTTAGAGAAGGAAAGAGAGAGGAGAGATAATATAATGATCGCAAAATGGTCTTGTGGACCTAAAACCTGCTCTAATTGAAGCAATCGGTGAGGTTTTTTTTTTGAATATATTAATTTTTTAAGTTTTTAATATTTATTGTAAATACAAACGTGTTTAAAGTAGAAATTGTGCACAACTCTTCTGCACGACACGAAAGATAAACCGATACATTATAAATTTATGCATATCTTTTCTGTTCATTATAATATTATACAATAAGTCCGATGGAGGTACGTCACTGGCCAAGAAACGCAAACAGCTGATTTATACAAGTAAACAGATTTTGTGCACCGAGAATATGGCCGCCACAGCATCAACATACAGCCCATATTGTTGAGATACCTCAAACCTTAGCAACATCCTATGAATATGATTGTCGGTACGAAGCACCCTATACATCATGTTAGTTACACAAGCTGCCAACCGAAATCTGGTGGGATTACAGAAAAGGGAAAGAGACCGAAGATGAGACGGATGGAATTTCTCGAAAGACCACATGTGTTTACCATTTCAAACACCTGCAGTCCAGTTTTTCCCTAGAAATGCAGGGAATGGGCGATTTTCGGGTGGTTTTTAGGGGTGTTAGCAGATCAAATTACAGCGTGGCTTGGGGTAGCGAATAAATACGATTTAACATGTGTATTCCGGGTCTTTTTCTTGTAACCGCCTTTAAGTGTAAAGTATGGCTTGTCTTGAAATATTTTGTTACACCTTAATCATTGCTGTGTGCTTTTGCTTTTTATTTCCGGTGAGGTATTTGCTTTATTCAATTAATCCCTGAATGTGTGTAACTTGAATGCAGAATGTAACCCTTTACTTGTGTACTTACTAATAACAATTTCGTTCAGTCGAATTTTTATTCCTTATTCCTATTGCGAGCCAATGACATTAGAAGAGGCGCGCACGTGTATTCTGTATTTATTATTTTATCTTGTTATCCTAAAATAAAACAAGTATGAGGTGTTGTTTTTGTGAAGGTAAGTTATGAACGTATTTGATGTCGGTGCAATTAGCCTGCTATTGCCTTACATCTTTCAATATCTGCCATGCCATTATAAATTATAATGACATAAATTCAAACGGCATGAGTGTTCTGATTGGCTTATAGTCTGGTGTACGGCGTCACTATTTCTTATTCCTTATTTTTTTCGATGTGTGATGGGCTTTAAGATCATTACATTCTTGATAGGACAGTCCCCTTTCTTTCATAGTCTAAGGAATAATGTAGTCGTGTTACTTGTGTATACATTTAAAACATTTCTACAAATACATATAAGAAATGTTCTGTAGTGTGCTGTTTGCATATATGTCTATGGCTGTTTGGGGTTACGCCACTGTGTGTGTTCATTGTTATATTTATGCTGAATCACTCTGTACATGTGTGGTAAAAGTCTCCCTTCCATTAAATTTAATGAATTGGGGCAAAGCGTTGATGGTCTGTGGGGCAAAGGTCGGCTATTTTTAAGCTGAGTCATAAAATTAATAATTACTTTTCAGGCGAATTACGAATTTTCCATAATTTGTTTTAGTGACTTTGTGCAGCTGGTGTTGGTATTGGTTCGCAATTTAAAATTTTTTATGTAAGTTACGTCATTTAATTTCGGTTTTTAATTTTTGATTCCCAAAAACAAGTACAGTATCGAAATTATAATGAGCAAAGAAAAACCGACAGATAAGATAAAGCCGAACGATGGAAACTGTGACGAGGATTTATCAGATCTTCTCGACAGTAAGTACCCTAAGAGGACCTAACCTTTACATGCAACACCATCATAGGCGCATTAAAGGATTTCTCGAAGGATGAAGAAAAGCCCACCGAAAAGGATGACCAAACGAAAACGGATTTAGCGGAAACGGAATGGACCGATGAGTTCATCCGGCAGGCGGCCGAACAATTCGAAAGTAACATGGCGAATCTGCTGAGGGAGACGGGCGGCGGGCCGAATATATCCTCCGATCAGGTCCAGCAAACTTTTCAACAGATGGCCGGTAGGTGTGTTTATGTTCGTTTGCCGATTAATGAGGCGAAATTACAGCCGCAGCCGCCGCAGTTGTGTCGAACACGGGCGAGGGACAGGCCGGCCCTGACTTTACTGCGTCCATTACGCAAGCGCTCAAGGGACTGACCGAGGGCGCGGAAAACTTGCAAAATCCGTTTTCCGAGGCGGATCTGATGTCGATGTTCGGCCAGCAGGACGGCGAGCAGAACGCGTTCGTGCCGTTCATGCAGGGAATGATGCAGAGTTTGTTGTCGAAGGATGTCTTGTATCCGAGCTTAAAAGACATTCTTAGTAAATATCCGAGTTGGATGGAGGCGAACGGGGGCTCGCTATCGAGCGAGGAACGTACACAGTACGAAAAGCAACAGGAATTGATGACGGAAATTTGCGCGCACTTAGAGAAGGAGTCCGATAACGACAGTCCGGAGCAGAAGAAGGTGCATTTCGACACGGTCTTGGCACTCATGCAAAAGGTATAGTCGGTTTTTAGACTAAGAGGAGTAAACTGACAAAAGGAAACACCTCAAAACATATCCCCCCACCACCAAATTTTTGTTGCGTCACTATACACTTTTTTTGCAGTTGCAAGACTACGGTCAGCCCCCGAAGGAGTTGGTCGGTGATTTAGGTCCGCAAATACCGTTCGATGCTCAAGGAAATCCAAATTTGAATCAGTGCAGCCTTATGTGATTATTATTAGTTTAGTCAAATTTGTTGCTATGTATTTATAAACATTTTTTTGTTTTTAATAATTTGTATACTAATTTATCCTTTGGGAATAAATTTTAATTGTGTTTGTGAGGTCCGGTAGGTGTTTCCAAGCACTCTAGAACAATCTACCGTGCCATCATGGTCCAAAATGAAATTGTTCCCATCTTGTATGTATTTAGTACCAAAGATTGACACTGCAACTTTTCGGTTAACTGTTTGGCTTAATGGTTCAATTTACGGTTTAGGTTCTGGTGTATGGTTCTCAGATAACCTTGAATATTTCTGTAAAATACCAGGAATATTCAAAAAGGTTATTTGAACATGTATTAAATATACCTAGAATATATACGTGCGCTGTAAGATATCCGAATGGGAAAATCTCAGATACTCTGAGGATAAACTTAAAAGAATATTCTCCATTTATTCTGAATATTCTTAGAACATGATGCATAATAAGTATATAGGTACCAGTTGGTATATTCTAAAAAAAAAGTTACAAAATATTTAAAATATTAACTTTTGGCAGCTATGCAATTTAGGTGGGAAAAAGCTGCCTGCGCCATCTAAAAAGCACGAATGGAGATTACGTTTGGTATCTTGTCTTGAACGCGTCGCTCTATAAATGTTTGTTGTTATTTTCTGTTATTTAATACAGGTAGTAATTTTTGCATTTCTTTATATCGTATTTGTGCTTAGTATGCCGCATTTTATATTTTTTGTGTGTTTGAATCTTTGTTTCTGAAATTTACTTGGTTTAACCTCGATGCAGAATCACATATGTGATACCGTTACGCTATTGTTTGTAATCGTTTACGTTTTGGTGTAATGCTTGCTTAATTTATGTTTATTGATGTTGATTACTTGGTCTTGTCCCTGAAGTAACATTCATGTAAGTTTTGATAATTTTATTTTAATAGTGGAAATTACCGATTCGTTTGATGCATGTACTGACTTGTTGTTTGTTACTAACAATTTTCTCCGTGAATAAAGCAATCACGGGGGTGGTAAAAATTGTAGTCAAAATTGAGTTACGACACCTAATTCCGTGATTGTCTTCGACATTCAACTGTAGGCTCGAGATTCCGAAACCAGGGTCGGGTTACCCATCCTGCAGGAGCGGGATTACGCTAATCAAAGCTCTTCAGTTTAGAATCTATGTGCGATAAATGAGTGGCGATTCAATAATTTCCACATATCTTGTTTTTAGTTAAATTTGCCTACAAGGCCGTGTAATTTTCCATCTTGCTTTTAACAAAAGGACTTTATTGCACCAAAGATGAGTCACACTCTGTGTATTTCACCTTTTCTTAGAATCTTGGTACCGGCTTACCTGACCCATTATTCCCAACACTTGTTTTTAACCTATATTTTACCTCTTGAAGTTTAGCTGCTACTTTTTGTGATGTTATAATTTTATTTTACGCATTCACATCTTTACAAACAATTCATTTTACAACACAATTTGTTATTAATTTGACGGCTGTTTTATTTATTGGTAAGTTCTTTTTTTCCCAGCCTATTTCTATTTTTATTCGGTGAACTATCATTTTCAAAGTTTATTTTTGCAATGTAATTTATTTTGACTGAAATTTTCGAGCTCTTACAATCATAATAATTAAGATAATTATTAAACAAACTTTTCACAATTTCAGTGTTTTATTTTACGTTCCTTCCCTACTGTGTTAAAGGTCAAAGCGTTGTTTACAACTAACGTAAGGGGACTCTGCCTTAGGTGTTTGATCCGTGCCACTTCTCAAATTTATGCAGAATTATGCGTTTGATACCGTTAACTTTTATTGTTTGAAACCGTTTTCAATTTTGTTGTAAATGTTTGTTGAATTTTTGTTTTGATTCTTTGCCCAAAGGTAAATTCATATTTCGTTTAAATATGTGGTGTGTGCTTTTTTCGGTATTTTTTATGGTAAAGGAATTATGATCTGAGGTGCTATACCCTGTATATTGGTGGAAGCATTGGGTTATTCTAGGAGATTTTCAAGTAAAATTCTACTAATTTGAAAGTGAATTGACACTTGAAAATATAACCCCTTAATCCTATCCTGTTTGAAAAATCTTTTTCTTAAGAACTCGAGGCTGTCTTGAATCAGCTTGAACACACAATTAACTTAATTACAATATAAGGATCACAATTTTTCATTCAATTTCTAGCGTAATCGTACAACTGTACAACTACCCGGCATTCCCTTACGTTCATTATGCTTTAAAACAGCCTTACTATCAGTGGCACAATTACACTGACCACAATTTAAACTACGTATTCTTGGATGTGTCGAGCTTTAATAAATAACGATTTAAGTTTTTCTTACTAGGTATTTGTGGCACGCCACATCCTTCAGTGTGAATATGCCTCTTTAAGTTTTGCTTATGGTGAGTAGCACAATTGCACTGTTCACAAATTAAATATTTGGAAATGTTACGCACTAAGGCGAGAGTTCTTTAACTTATTCTTGGTTGCATAATTGCACTGATCAAAACTAAAATTCTTGAAAGTAACGTGATAAATTAATATTACAATATTGATTACTTTTGGCTATTTTGTAAATAAAACAAAATGGCGGCCTTATCCCACCAATAGTAATTACAATGCGTTGCCACCTGAGTTCTCACTGTCGCGAATAGAAACTATTGAAGATATCGTACCGCAAAATCACCAAGTACTTTCATATTTTGAAATCAGTTTCTCATTATTGTAATTTAAACTAAAATATTTAAATGAAAAATCGATTCAAATGCATCAGTTAAACAAATTAATGGAAGCGAGATACGATAATAAAACAAATCGATTAATCAACTTATTAGTACAAAAAACACATTACGGTTGAATTTAGACATAAAAACTCGTAAAATGAAAAACTGCAAGTACCTAAAGAACATCAAATATGAGATTAGAATGATGTATAAAAAATTGCCAAATAGTGTAATCACCCCATCTTTTCACAATAATTGCAGCAATAGTTGCCACTAGAATTGCATTATCTAATACGGCCTTTAGGTATCTGGCATGTTATTACTGCTTACCATAAATTTTATTTTATTTTAATCTACATATGGTATTGGTATGTATAATACATTTTACTGAAACATATTTATAATGGAATATTTTTTTATGTATCTAACTATCTATGAAGTAAAATAAACATTCTAATTAAAAAACCTAATTAGCAGTGAGCGAAGTCAGGCCCTTTGATCGTACGGGCCCGAGCCATGGTCTGATGAGCAGAGTGAAAAATAACTGAATCGTTTTTCCAAGTTCCTTTCCATGAGATAGGCCCAGGAGCGCCTATTATTTGAAGATAAAGCCTGCTATTATTTATCTCATCACTTTAGACTCTCTAGTTTTTAAAGGTGCTGTTTAAGATAGGTTTTACTTTGTGTCCCAAACTCGCAATTAGCACTTAAAAGAAACTTAGTGTATTAAAAGATGTTGTTTGAAGTCGTATTTTTTATTTGTCCCATAATCACAAGCAGCACACTTAAAAATCTTGGAAACATTATGTTTTAAAAGATGTTGTTTGAAGTGGTATTTATTGTTTGTTCTATAATGACAAGTAGCACATTTAAAATCTTTAGAAACTTTATGTATTAAAAGATGATTTTTGAAGCTGCTTTTAAAATTCGTCCCAAAATCGCAATCTGCACATTTAAAATCCTTAGAAGCTTTATGTTTTAAAAGGTGTTGTTTGTAGTTGCATTTAACGTTAGTGGCATAATCGCAAACAGCACATTTAAAATCTTTAGCAACTTTATGCTTTAAAAGATGTCGTTTGAAGAGGTGGCTAATATTTGTCTCATAATCACAAGTAGCACATTTAAAAACCTTAGAAATTTGGTGTTTTAAAAGATGTCGTTTTAACTTGTGTTTATCACTTGTCTCATAATTACAATCAACACATTTAAAATCTTTAGAAACTGTATGTATTAGAAGATGTTGTTTGAAGTGGGATTTAATATTTGTCCCATAATCACAAGTAACACATTTAAACTTTTTGGAAACTGTGTGTTTTAAAAGATGTCGTTTGAGACTGGTTTTAACATTTGTCCCATAATCACAATGAGAACATTTGAAATCTTTAGAAACTTTATGTATTAAAATATGTTGTTTGAAGCAGCTTTTAATATTTGTCTTGTAGTCGCAATCAGTACACATGAAATCTTTAGAAACTTTATGGTTTAAAAGGTGTTGTTTGTAGTCGCTTTTAACGTTAGTGCCATAATCACAAACAGCACATTTAAAATCTTTAGCAGCTTTATGTTTTAAAAGATGTCGTTGAAAGAGCTGCTTATTATTTGTACCATAATCACAATTGGCACATTTGAAATCCTTAGAAATTTTATGTTTTAAAAGATGTCGTTTGAAGAGGTGTTTATAATTTGTCCCATAGTCACAAGTAGCACATTTCAAAACCTCAGTAACTCTGTGTCTTAAAAGATGTCGTTTTAAGTTGATTTTATCACTAGTCTCATAATTACAATGAGCACATTTAAAATCTTTAGAAACTTTATGTATTAAAAGATGTTGTTTGAGGTGGGATTTATTATTTGTCCCATAATCACACGTAATACATTTAAAATGTTTGGAAACTGCGTGTTTTAAAAGATGTCGTTTGAGGCTGGTTTTAACATTTGTCCCATAATCACAATGAGGACATTTGAAATCTTTAGAAACTTTGTGTATTAAAATATGTTGTTTGAAGCTGCTTTTAACATTTGTTTTATAATCACAATCAGCACACATAAAATCTTTAGAAACTTTATGTCTTAGAAGATGTTGTTTGTAGTCACATTTAACATTTGTGCCATAATCACAAACAGCACATTTAAAATCTTTAGAGGCTTTATGTTTTAAAAGATGTCGTTTGAAGAGCTGATTGTTATTTGTCTCGTAATTACAATCAGCACATTTAAATTCCTTAGAAATTTTATGTCTTAAAAGATGTTGTTTGAAGCTGTTTTTATAATTTGTCTCAAAATCACAATCCGCACATTTAAAATCTTTAGACACTGTTTTACACTGAATTAAAAGGTGATGTTGAAAGTCACCATGTTGCTGCACTTGTTCGTTATACAGAGAT